GCGACACCGGGTATTTGTACTCTAGCACTGTAATCCTGCCCATCTTCCAACTTAAAGCCATGCTGAGAACAATATTACATTGTCTTATTTGGAACTCCATCTACATGTTGGAGACCACCAATCCTCCACTAGTCTGCCTGGGAAAAATTGTATGATTCGCTAAGAAGAAACTGGGCTAAGCAGTTTTCTACTATCACCAATTTGAAGACAAAGAAAGATATAGCAAAGCAAGAGGACCTACCGTTTGGCAGTTTTCAGAATTGTGTGAAGGAAAGGTGTTGGCAACAAGTTCAAGGAATGCCCGTTTTGCAGAGGATGTAAAGGCCTATGACCTAACGACAAAGTCTGACTTTGGGATAGCGACTGGTAACAAACTGACTCCAAAAGAAGGGGAGAGACTTTTCTCAAGAGAGGAATGGCGTAAAGAAAGCCAGATGGAAAGCTTCTTCTCCAGGCTGGTGTCCACTCGAAAATATTCAACACCTTCAGAAGAAGAGGAGGCAGCAGGAGTTGAATGGGAAGAATTTGAAGATGAAGTAGAGCTTCTAAACTCTATCCATGCGCACATTGGTTTGAAACTCTCTATTATCTATGTCACTTTCAATGTTTGTGAATATGCTACTCAGCGGAAACTCCTGAAACTGAATAATACAATTCTCAAGGAAATTATTGATTATTACGAGATACCTTACACATCGAAGAACAGAATATCCATGGATATTATCGCAGGAAAAAAAATTAAGCGAAGTAGAAATGTGGGATTTTCACATACCTGTATGGCGCTGCTTTCAGTGATTTGCATTCGTAATTATCCACAATGAATCACGAAATAATTGCAAATGAACAGCTGAGTGCACTTACTAATACTATAGAATGTCTGAAAAAAGACTCTAACGACTGCCCCTACTCTCCCCCCACTCTCCCCCCTTGAATGAGTCTGCACTTGGGCAAGGCAACACTGTCTCCCAACAATTGATACACCGACAGTGCAGCATGCTAAGTTACCATAAGAAATTGTATTTCCCAGGGGTGAAATGATAGGTCTGAGATCCCATAGGATGAAACCCATGAGATGATAAAACCCTTAGGGAGAAATTCTGAGAGCAAAAATCCCAGGAACGAAAGCAGTAAAAACATTGGGGTGGAATCCCACACTGGTAATCCCAGGGTTATACTCCCCAAGAACAGGTTAAGAAGTAAGTTGAAAATGTAACATACTTTGAGGATATTTCCATTAAAACTGCCGGTAAAGTAACAAATACCTTTCTACAGCAAGCGGCCTGCCCAATTGCCAGTGATCTGCTTGTGAACAAGAGTTGATGACAGTAGGCTGGAATTTTATCCACATATCTTAACAACTCTTTTTTGATTGGGCTCTCCTCTGCCTAGCGATCAATAGAAACAATGATGGGCAACTTAAGAAATAATATCTGCCATTTTTATTTAGGATGTCTTTGTTCACAATTGTTTAGATACCTTTGAGGCATATTTTCTTGCAACTCTGTAAAGTGCCTTGCCTGCATCTGCAAAATTCTGTGAAAACATAATATTAAAATTCATCACAAAAAATTAAACCTCTTTCCATTAGCAGTTTTCCTAATGGGTTTCATTCTCAAACATGGTGACCTTTGGAATTAATTTCCCTCACCCCCTCCCTAAATTTTTCAAAGAACATTTTTGCTGCAGTCTCTACCCACAAACTAACGTTTCCTAGACAGAAAACAAAATGCGAAGAAATTTATAAAAATACAAAGATTTTTTAACACAAAACCTAACTTGATTTCTCTTTTAAACAACAACAAAAAAAATCAATCCAAATTCACTTTTATCTGAGAGGTGTGGCAAACTGTATATAGGGGGCCATGAGATATGTCCTGCGTTGGAAGACTCCCAGACTACAAAGGAGCTTTATATAACTTGGAAAGCATTCCATTATACAAAACACGATGTCCAAGCAAATTAAATTTACTCACTTGAGATGCTTCAAATAGTTCCTCTGTGGTTTGAAGAGCTCCTTCTCCCCTAAAAATCAAAGAGATCTGTTGATTAGCACTAGCTCCCAGCTAAGAACTCATGCATCTCAGTTTCCTTATTACTTTCTGCTGGTTTGCAATTTTTCCCTTTGCCATGCATGTATAGTGTGGAAAAAAATCCTGTGGTCCACATTGTAAAAAGCTTGACCAGTTACAATGGTGTAATTACAGGCCTATCAGATTTTAGGCCCTCTGAGATGTTTCAGAAAAAAATTAATACACCAAGTTCCCTTGACTTCTTTAAACAGGCATGTATAGCAGATGGAAAGGAGAATTAATTGATAGATCAGATAGTGAAGAACATGGACTGGGTTTAAAGTAGTGACTGCATCTGGAACTTGAGAAAACACAAATGCAGAAACTAGAAATTGTGGCAAACCTATTTCTCTCAGTGTAACATATGAGACAAAACTGACTCGTACCTTGTAAAGAGATACATTTCACTGACCATCTCTGACATCTCTCGGGCTCTGATGACAATTTCATTATCGGTATCTTCAAAGTAGTGCAGCTCAAGTTGTGATGTCATCAGGTTTACATTTGTGATAAGCTTGCCAAGCTTCTCTTGTTCCTAAGTGAAAAAAAAAATTGAATTTCCCAATATTTCTGTACTTCTTTTTTTATTTGTTTTATTTTTGTTTTTCAAACTTGATAGTCATTAGCATTAGTATATCAAGGGTGCAGCTAAGGGAGGGGGGGGGAACAGATGGCTATTTTAGATGCACAAGTCCCCCATATATTCAAATTATTATTTAAAGGAGGCTGTCTTCCAATGAAGGGCTAACCGAATTATTTAGTATTTTATCCCCACTGACACAGTGCAACCGTATCTTACCCCCTTTGCTCAATAATAAAACAACTTTGCATCATCAAGACTGGATACTAGAAAGACACTTACTTATGAAGGGTAGAAAAGTATGTGAAGCCCCACGATGGATCCAGGGGGGAGGGTTCAGAGACTTTGGACCCTTGCCCTCCCCCCTTCCCCTAATCAGACCTGTGGAGTTTTTACTACTTGTCTGAACTACTCAATACAAACCATTTAAATTTACTTATCGTAAAATATTTCCTACATTTTGGTTTTATCAATTGAGTTGATATTGTAAATTGGCCACCATAATGGGTTTCTAAAGCGGATATTTTGAGCATTGGTCCTTCACATTTGCTTTGGTGATGGGCTAATGCTAGAAATGTTAGCATTAGAAACTCTTTACTGAGCCCAATTTGTATTATAAACTCAGCTGATAAACCCTAATTATCTTTTTTATACCCTGCCTGATGCAGCACCACAGTTATTTTTAGCTTTAAGCCCCTTTACTGAAATTTTTGTTAGCCTATTTGGGCTTTAGTGTAAAACAAATCTGTGTCATCTGAATCAAAGTTTTCATCTCCCCTTTCAAAAACTCCTGGATTTGCTCTGAAGCCCCTATAGATGTAGGTATGATACAGAAAAGAGAACTTTGAATAGGCAGTCTTTCTCAAGAAAATTCCACATTAGCCTTCTCCAATATACTTTACCTGTGAATCAACCACTGCTTTCTCAGGTTCTTCATTTTCTTCGACTGAAGCACTGCTACTTCTTCTACTGGATGACTTTTGCTGTTGAATGTTACAGGATATTTTAAAATTAAATCTGGAAAAGCATGAACATGACATGCTGACAACTACAAATAGCAGTTGAACTATGAAAGTGTTTCAAAAATCAACAATCAAAGTCCATCTTACCAGCAGTTGCTCAACACGAGATTCACTTGTTTTCCTTAGCCCCTGTGTTTCGTCTTCTGATAAAACATCTAAATTAAAAGCAATGCTTTCCTTAACATAAAATCACATTACATGTCACAAGCTATTCTTCCACAACACAACTTTCCCAGTTATCCCTTCACATCCTTAAATCAGTGTGCATATTCTCCAAACATTTCTTAAGATGCTTCCAAGGAGAATTTGTTTGACAATCAAAAGCTTATTTTGTTGCTGATCATTCCCTTTATTCTCCTAACCTTAATATTTGATTCAGGGGTGATATTGTCAGGAGAAATTAGATGCTGGTCACCTTTGGGAGTAAAGGGAAGATTCTCCCACTGACAAAGCTAATCAGGTTTCCATAATAAGACAATAAACCTTTTTTCCGATATAATTATAAGTTTCTTCATATAAGGAAAAAAATGGAGTTGTCAGTCTGTTACACGGGCATTGCAGAGGCCATGGGTTCAACTCCCATACAGGCCTGAATTCTTCAGGCTTTATTTTCACTACCACTTAGGTAGTGTTCGTTACTGTGAAGTTAACAGTCATATTCAGATTTGATAGTGATACAAACATTGCCATGTAACCTACTGAATGCCAGTTTTTATTCTTAAATGAAAATCATTTATGAATTGTGAAATTAAAGCTCAGATCAAATTCACTATTTTCGAATAACATTGTACCTACAGTAAAACAGTCTTCTATTGGTCTCTGAGTCAAGAAATGCAAAGGGGGCAGGGGTGAGCCAAAGAAGCAAGCAATGAAGTGGACATTACAAAGGCAGTAGGAAAAAGAGTTAAAATCCACCCCACCCCACTTGTCTCTTTCTTTCTCTCCTTGTGTGCCCCCCCCCTGAGAAAAAGACAGGACATAACTAACAAATGCGCCAGATGCAATAAAAGGACATTAATTTTCCAAAACAATTAAATTTATTTTCATGTCAAATATCATTACTAGTATAATTATGTTAGCTTCCTAATAAGTTTATTATTAAAAGGAAATTATGGTAGGTCCACCAAAAATTATTTATAGGAGGACGACTACTTTTTATCCCTACCCAATATTTGAAAAATGCTATTCAAATAAAATTAAAACAAAGCACTAATTATTAGCACTCTCTGATGATTAATAACCCTTGCACTCCCAAGATCTAATTAGAAATTCTCCTTACTGTCTGTCATACAATTCTTATGATGTTAGTTCAGAGAATTTGGTATTGGATCAACTAATAATCCCCAGACTGATATTTTCCTAAATTCTCATCACTTGTCAGCTTGATAGTCTATTGATATTGTAAGGAGAAATTCTGTCTTGGTCACTCATGGGAGTTTAAGGTTTAAAGCATTACCAAAAAGAAGTTTATTTACTTGAAATTATTGTAGGTCTACCAAAAATTATTTAGAGGGGAATGATCACTTTTCATCTTCATCCAAAATTTGAAAAGTGCTATTCAAATAAAATTAAAACGAAAAACTAATGACTAGCACTATCTGATGGTTGAAGTGTTAAAAAATAATAAAAATAATAACAATAATATGCAGGTCATACATGAATCTTACTTAAAGCATTTCATAAACAAATTTCAGATGAAAATATGACACTTTCACAACTGCAACAATCTTGAGAAATTTATCATATAATGCATGCCTGCAATTTACATATTAATTAAAATGTACAGTTTAAAGAAATTTTGTTATTGAAACTATCAGCCTTTATGGTTGTGATTTTTGCCCCCCCGAAGATTAAAAATAAAAATAAAAAACCTCGCGTAGCGAAACAAAAATTCAAGAAAGCAGTCATATATTAGGGATGCATAGTATAGATCATAATGAAATTTGAAATTGCTGAATACCATACTTGCTGTTTTTCTTGTTGATAAAAGATAAAAAATTAGCAAAATTTAAAATTGAGCAACCATAGTCAATCGGGGATGAGGCATATCTACCTCCAACAAAACTCCCAAACTGGGTTGTGATCCTCTTCTTTTTTTCCTCCTTGCTTTCTTTCTTAGTAAAACATGAAATTGTAAGAAGAAACTACCATTTCATCTCTCATATGTCAAGGGTGGGTTGAGGTAGCCATGGAGGATAATATTGCATTATAAATACTACCTTGAATTTTATATGACATGAAAATGTCCTTTTTTGTACCTTGGGCTGGGAAAATGTGGCAATAAGAAAATGTAAAAACAAAAAAAACTAAACAAAAGCACCTGTCTATAAAGATATATCCAATTTTTTGAATAAAAAAAGTTTTAACCATGAAATAATATTGATATAAATTAACAATATTTATCAAAAATAGTTATTTTCTTCTTTTGTATTCAGTAACAAATAACTTTCGGTGAACAACAGTAATACAGCGTAAAAAGTCTACAAAACAGTTGTCCTTTTCAGCAGCTGTTAAAGAGTGGCATAAACAGCATTGTAGGAACTTCGTTTGTGGCGGCTGCCAGGACTTTCTGGAAAAATAAAATGATTTGATTAATGCCATAATCACTCATTATTAATTTTTTGAAATTATATCTATTATAAGAAAATTCATTACTTGACAAGGGAATTAGTTTTCACGTGCATTAAATATTGCACATGAAAACTAATATTGTATAAATCATGAAGTGATGAGTGCAATATCGGTTTTCAAGTGCAATTTAATGCTGAATTCACAAATCAAGTGATCGATTTTCCTTGAATCGCATAATTGAATAAAAACAAGAAAAAAAAAAAACACAGCATTAACCATACTTGTTATGTATACGTAGATGTGAAACAATGTCACTTGCCTTGTTTTCAACTCATAATTCCAAACTAAATACCTTACTTTGTTAACAATTCAGAATGCAATATTTTATTCAATGATGCGATTCTAGAATAAATACTAAATAATCCATATAAATGATGACAATGGAGTGTCCCCTCAGTAGAAGGTCAATGCTATCTAATGTCCTCCCAGATAGTGACTGTTTTTTAGAGTAATTTTTCACCGAGTGTTAAAAGTAATCAGGGATTGCTTTGTTTTAGCTTAACCCATTTTCTATAAAGGATGTATGTATATGTCCTATGTTTTGTCACCCGACAAATGAGGATATACACACGTCCACAAATAAAAAACATTACTGAGAGCCCGGTTGTTGGTGATGGCTCACATAAATTTTCCCTGCTTGTTGAGAAAAAGTTCAGTATGGCTGCCAGTTGGAGAGGGTGTCTAGCTGGTTGTGGTAGAGAAGGGTTTAACTTCACTCCGTGATTGGTCCAAGACACTCACACCACCACCTCGACCAATCAGATGCCAAACTGAAATCAATCATGACTGTTGCTCACATTTTCCCACTCTTTAGGCACCTTGGTCAATTTACTTTGAGGTATCATGAGCTCTTCAAAAGGTTTTTTCTTTTCTTCTGATTGGTCACTGTAATCATTTTGGTTTTGGTTTTGGTTTTGGTTTTGCAACACTCAATTAAAAAGCCCTCAATGATACAACTAATAAATTTGTGTCCTCAAATTAAAATGTGGAACCCTGCTTCATACACATGTACCAACTGTGCACACTGTTTATGTAAGTGGTGTGAGAGACCGGGAATTTGTTGCCTATTCAAGAAGGATCTATGGTAGTCCATCAGAGCTAGTGTGTGACTTACTTCTAGTTTCAATAATTGCCGTAATGTTTTTCCGCAAGTTATGCAATGGACTGAAGGACCAAAATTGAAAGTGCCAAAATTCACCGCAAAGAGGAAAGTAAAATTTATTTAAGAACGAAAAAACCCTTTGCACTTAAATGAGCAGACTACCCTAAAAAAGCTGCCCCTTTATATAAATACCCATCTAGGCAGCTTGATATTGTATTGATATTGAAAAGAGAAATTCTGTCTTGGTCACTTTTGGAAGTTAAAGGGTCATCTGTGAATAGTGATGAGAAGAAAGATATTCTTGAAGTAGGAATATTGGCATCCTCTGAGACCTAGGGGCTCAGTCGATTTCAAGTTAGGGCATGAAGAGCCCCAGGGGACATTGTCTTACAAGACTAGTTCCAAACGGTCGCAGTCGTTCTGCCATCTGATTGGTGCCAGAAAATCTTTGTGTTTTTCTGCCCAATCAGAGTGAAGTGTACTTTAGAGTCCTTTCGTGTGTTTTAACACGGACATATACTACTAGCTCTGTTGCTCCCTATGTTTGTTTGGACCGTGCGACGGAGATTTGCTTGAGGTGAAAAGTTTCAGTGTCGGCACACAATGTAAGAGAAATTGATCAGATTGTCAGCGAAGATCTTACCGGAAATTATACTGAATACTTTCGCAGGTATCACTAGAGAACGTGTTTTAAAGTTTGCGAGGTTTGTATACAACACGATGGTTGCAGTCATTGATATGTCGCTTGAAACGTCTAGATTTTTTGGATAATTTGCTGTGACTGAAACTTTGCCAATCCTGTGAAGTTATTTTGTCGCACGGGCCACGCAGGTATGTCGAGCAACTGGCGCTTTCGCCTACGTAGCTTTCTGCTTTCTGTGCGCTAAAATCTAATCTTAGTAGTAAAGTCGTCCACAATACGACCAAGGTTGCAGAGAATGTTAAGTTCGTGGACGACATCCAGCAAGTGCTAAGAGAAAGCTTAGCTGTGTTTCTGGTTAGCTAATTAAAATCTGAACAAAAACTTATTAACAAGAACATCGTGGGAAGGAGAGATGTTCTCAGGAGGAGTCCGAAGGAGTTTGGAAAGAGTTTAATCTTTCAACTGCTGTCTAGTGTGTTGAAATTCTTGAGCTAGGAAGGCCACGGATTCTCTTCTAGTTCCTTGGTCATTGTCATTTCACCTCTTCTGTTGATTGTTGAAGACCAAGTTAAATACCTTTGATCATTGGGAATCGATCCGATGCTGTTTTCAGTGGGAAAAACAAAACCAAAGACCAAGAAATATTGGATGGAAAGGGCGGGTTTGCTTTATTGCCAATGTCAGCTTAGTAGTACAGGGTCATCTACCCACATCTAAAAAGCAAAAGTTTCCACGCTTAGCTTTTCTTTTTTTTCAAGCAAAGATGAGATTAGATTTTG